CAAGACAATTTCTATATACGCGATACGACTCTAGCGATTTAGAAAGAGTATAAGAAGCTGATTGTGCGGCAAAAGCTTCTTCGCCGCTTCTCTTTACGAGCAGTTAATCACGATGCGACGCGTCGCGCGAGCTTCGATCTTTTTATCTTTCGATCGAAAATTTACTCGAAAATTTATCGACCGAGAGAGAACCAAACGTTCGAAACATTCTGTCCAGCTTGTTAAGGGCAAAGATATCTTATTACAACGTGATATATCGTAGACATGCTAGCGATAGTAATAATTAGAAAGTATCGACGTAATAGGTTGAGTTTCGGAATCAAACTTAAACGACAAGAAATATCCACTTTGGCAGTCGTTATAAATATTAATGAAAAATAGAAAAATAATGAAGTCGAGAAATATCGAGAGGAAGGAAGATATTGATACGTTTCATTTATCAAACAAGAACGATCATCCTGACGTAGGCGATGGAATAATTTTAGGCTACAAAAATAGGTATCCCTTTTCAAACGATTCTTTTGAATTGAAGAGTTTCGATGCCCTAAGCGAGCGAGACCGAAGGAAGCGTTTATAATTTTCATTTTTCTCGTTGAATTTTACAGAAAAAGATCGAGCGATAATAAGTCAACGAAAATATACGTATTATTTATCAAGAGTAAACGATCGCGATTAGGAGGGGAGATAAACATTTCTCTCTTGATTATATTCGCTCGAGCGAATCGTTTAACGTGCTTTGTCGATCGTGAAATCGCATCAATCATTATCAATAACCGTAACGAAGATCGGAAATGTAGATCGGAGCGAAGGAGGACAGATCATGGATTTTCTTGCGTCCATCGAGGATCGAGCGAGCACGATCGCGCCATACTTTGTCGATAACGGGCCATACTTTGTCCGATTGGGTCGGTATCGATAACGAAACTTATCTTACTTATCGAAGGAAGTAAGATGATAAGGATATTGTTCGTGCTCATTTGCTAACGTCCTATCTACACGACATACAGAATTTCTCCAACTTATTTGCATAAATCGTGAACGACGGTGCGATTAACGTCTTGGAAGAAACTTTGTAGGAATGGTAAAGTAAATTTTCAAAAGTTCGCAACCGGCGTAAGCGGCAATTATCTTTTTATTAGATTCACAACTACAAATATCTACTATGGTCAGTTTTAGAAGTAACAAAGAACTTTACGAGTACTTTCTTCAGAATATTATCGAGTTTGCACTTTCCATTTCTCCGGCGGAAAGACGAGGTACCTTTCTCCGATCAATCGTAATGTCCGCAACTATCGATTACATTTTAATTTAATCCTAATTTAGAGTTTAAGCGCGAAGACAAAAACATCAAGGACTTTTATTTTTGCGAAATAGCATATAATTCGGACGCGGTAAGCGCGGTGTAAGGGAACATTTTGAACGTGCATCGATCGACGATAGAACGGCGTATCATTATGCCCATTAGGTGTGCGATCGAACCATTTACGTCCCGCCATTACGATCGCGCTTACAGAGAGAGAGAGAGAGAGAGAGAGAGAAAGAGAGAAACACGCACGTCTATACGATCAAGCAGACTTGTATAAGAGTAGAGTTTGCACGAGTGGCTTTACACAAGAAGAGAGCAACGACTTTGCTCCGAGTCGTGTTCCGTAAGATGAGACGAGGACAAGGGCAAGGCCAAGTCCACGTGCTCTCCAATCATCGTTACGCTTTTCAACTTACGAGCTGCCTCTCTTTCTCTTTCCCAGTCTTCTTCTTTCACAGTCCTCTTCTTCGCTCGAGCGACTCGAGTGTACCAATCGAAGGACTTGTTGTCTTTCCCTACTTTACTTATATTTTATTCGGTAATTCCGCTGCTTTTTTTTCTTTTTCTTTCACGACAAATTTATCAATCGGTCGACATTATTGAACTTACGGATCGATCGAAAGAGACAATTGCTACGTATGTCTATGTAAAAAGTAAATATCTTATTTAAAAATTGTTATGAACCTACCGAATCACGAAAACGATTTGAAACGTTGGTTATCGTCGCAAATGGATAGAAGGTACATATGTTATTAAATACAGGGCGACTGCTTCATAATCGTGTAATCAATGTCGCTACTTAATTATTAACCATTACAAGCTAAATTACTCCCGTACGGACTTTCGCTTCGTAATTATTACGCGACACATCTCATGTGGCATTCTTCGAAACGTGTGCGTATATACATGCATATAGATAGTTACTCGCACGGATGAAAAGTTGCAGTTGAAGTACTCACAAAGTATCTTACCTAGGCGAGTTAATCATACTTTAAGCGAAACGAGGTAGAGAAGGAGAGAGGGAGAGAGAGAGCGAGAGAGCGAGAGAGAGAGAGAGAGAGAGAGAGAGAGAGCGAGAGAAGTATTTTTCAAAACACAGCGACGGCAAATGCGTCTACTTTCTCGAGCGTTGATTGATTGTAACTCAACGAAAATGCTAGAATAATAACAGCTCTCTCGTGCTACCGGTCGTAACGGTAAACAAGCTTGGAATATGGTGACGTGAATATCATAATGTACTATTCCACGGTCTAGATGCGCCATTTCCATTGAATTACCAATGAAATATTGTAGAACGAAGGAGGATGCGATCTATTTTAATCTTATTAATTATCTTATTGTTAATTATTTTAGCTAGACTTTTTAAACCGATTTATCTTGTATCTACTTATAACTAAAAAAGAAGAGAAAATTATCAATAATTATCAATGTTCACGATACGTAATATACAAATAGATATGTACATATCTATTTAGCATGACGGCTTTCACATCCGATTCTTGGGAAAAACAAATGTTGCTCTTTTCTAAGATACGATCGAAACCGTGAGGAGTCGATGAACTTCAACGTTCGTTGCTGTCTTCATTGTCGTGCGTCGCAAGAAAAAAGAACATGAAACCCACGATCATTGCTAACGCGACATTAAGCGTATTTTATAGCTTCAACTCGATGTTTATCGTGTCGTCTCTCTCTCTCTCTCCCTCTCTCTCGCCGTGTTTCGTCCGACCTTTAGCTTGAACTTTCATGCCTCGAAAGAATCTTGTAGGAGAACTCGTAAGTCCCGGCAAAGTCTCACGGTAAATAACAGTGTCGATGAAAGCGTATAGACACGGACCGACTCACAGAAGCGCTCCTAGAATACTCCCTTTTTCTCCTCGAACCGTGAATAATCCGGCGAGTATGCAAATTGCGACTAATCCGATAAAGGAGCACCGATACGGTTGTTTGCTGCTTCGGTGGGCCTGAGAAAAGGAAGGGTTCCACAAAGTTCTCCTTCTTGCATGCACCTCGTGCACGATCGATTGCGCTCGTTAAAAGGTATCGTCGATGGTCATCCTTAGATTCGAATATCGGAGTTGGAACGATATAATGAAAAATCGATCGAAAGAAAGAAGAAATATATTAAATTAATTAATTCGTTAGAAGGTCTATCTAAGTGATTCTATGATAATAAAATGAATCTACGTGATATTTATTTTACTTATATAAATCATATTTCCGTCTACTAATACTTGTATACGACTTTATGGGAGATTTTCATATCGCATTTCGAAAAATTTAAATGATTTTTCAGGATAATTTTTCGAACGACATCGATTACAGTAACGTAACAACATCGTACAATAACGGCGCGCGATATGACATTTATTCATAAATAGGAAAAGAAATGAAAGAAAGAAAGAAAGAAAAAGAAGAAGAAAGAAGACGAATGATCGAAGAAAAGAGAAAAGGAAGAAAGAAGAACGAGATAAAGTTAGAATCTTGCCGTTTGTATGAGCGCATCGCACGATCATTAAAGTTACAAATTTAAATACGATCGTGCAACTTGTATTACCGATGATGTGCATTAAAAAGTCATTTCGTTGCCATATATTCCTATATAAATAATTATACCAATGAAGCTTAATATAATACTCTCTCTAATATATATTATGATCCATTAAAAGTGCTTATTAATCCATTAAATTCATTATGCTAATGCATTAAAATGAATTATATGATAACGATATTATGATCTTGGAGAAATTCTTCACCGCTCGACGGTGAATTTCGATTCTATCCGATGATTCTCATTTATATACGACGATAGAAGAATCCGTGTAATATGACAAACTGTTTTTGAAATATTGCCGGATCAAATATCGCAGCCGATATTTACCAACCGCATTCCTCCTTCTTAGAATATCAAAACGAAGATCTTAAAGAATGAAGAGTATTGCACGAGTTCTTTTCGCTTTCTCGAATGTTATCGACATAAAAAGACAAACAAGAGTTTTCTCGTCGATCTAACGATACTACGTACGTAGATACGCACGTAAAGACGTTCGACGTAATAAAGTAGAATAATCGCATGCGCTTCCTGCGTACGAGATAGCCGACAAACATTCGCATTTCCAATACTCGATCGGTGGAAATCTAGAATAAATGGAGGTTGGTTATAGAATGCGCCGGTTAGTTAGTAAACGACATCGATTACGACATCCGATCGAGTCTCCTGTATGTCAGAGAGTAGAGATATACTATTATATATAATGCATAATCCAAAGCGACGTTTATGTCTTAGCGTTGGCAATAAGGAGAAACCTGAAATTCCTAGAGCGTGTCTCGTTTTATTACGGCTCAGACGTATAGGTTTCACCCTAAGGTCCGTTTACGAAAATGCAAAACATAATTACCGCGTAACGAGATACAATTATACGTATCCGCGTTTAAACTTGCTCGACTCGAGTTAAAAATGAAAAAATGAAAAGCCAACGTCCGCTCGTAATTACGATATGACGACACACCGATAACATTTACACCCCTTTTCTTCTACGATCTACTACGCGGATCGATCGAAAAGACTTTTCGAGTGCGTATGATGACACCGCTGCACGCATCAAACCCTAAAAATCATTTTATGTCCATTCGAAAGCTTTACGAAGAATCATGTTTTCGAAATCCGTCAATTGATTTTTAATTTTCTCTTTCGCAGAAGAAACGTTGGATCAATCGGCGTCCTCGTCCTTTTGGAGTCCCACCATAAAATCGCAAAATATATTCCCAACGGACACGTCGGATTTCTTTTCTTCCGGTAGTGGATTGCTTAACGGGAATCCTACAGCGAACGTTTTCCGAAGCGGATTCGGTGGAATAGATAATCTAGGGAGTCGTGGTATTACGGTAAGACCACCGAGAACGAGACCTCTCGATTACAGCGAGAGATCCACCGCGGAATTACGTAAAAATCCTTCTCTTTCCTCTCCGGACGAGTGCGCTCGTGCCTGTCGCGAGAACGAACCACCGAGGATATGCTACTACCATTTCACCCTCGAATACTATACCGTACTTGGCGCGTAAGTATAAACTTTTGTTTCGTTAAATATATATATATATGTCTACGATACATATCAGAAAGAGAGAGAGAGAGAGAGAGAGAGAGAGAGAGAGAGAGAGAGAGACTTGCTTTCATGTAGCCGGCATTGTATCTATCTGCCGATTGAAAGGTAAAACCGTCTAACAATTTACAGGGCCTGCCAAATATGCACGCCGAACGCGACGAACGTTGTCTGGAGCGAGTGTCAGTGCGTTCTTGCCGACGGCGTTGAACGTAGTATCTTAACCGCCAACAGAATGGTACCAGGACCTAGTATACAAGTTTGTCAGGGTGACAAAGTGGTAGTCGACGTCGAGAATCACATGGAAGGTATGGAAGTTACTATCCATTGGCATGGTGTCTTTCAGAAGGGTTCACAGTATTACGACGGCGTACCATTTGTGACCCAATGCCCTATACAAGAGGGTAGTACGTTTAGGTAATGTGTAGTATAATATTGACATATAGATTATGTTTATTCCTGTCAAATACTAAATGGTTGTTTTACCAATTGTAAAGGTACCAATGGATCGCTGGCAACGAGGGCACACATTTCTGGCATGCCCATACCGGACTACAAAAGATGGACGGACTTTATGGAAGTATAGTCATTCGGCAGCCTCCCAGTAAAGATCCCAACAGCAATCTCTACGATTACGATTTGACCACTCACGTTTTATTGATGAGCGATTGGTTTCATGAAAATGCGGCCGAACGATTCCCAGGGCGTCTAGCCGTTAATACCGGTCAGGCACCTGAAAGTGTTCTCATCAATGGAAAGGGACAATTTCGCGTGAGCAGATTTTTCTTTTCTTTCTTCTTTTCGTGTTCTCTCTCTTTTACGTCTTATTAATTTTAATCGTAGGATCCAAATACCGGTTTCATGACTAACACGCCGCTCGAAGTTTTCACGATAACGCCTGGACGCCGTTATCGTTTCCGACTTATCAATTCCTACGGATCCGTTTGTCCGGCACAAATCACGTTCGAGGGTCACTCGTTGACCGTCATCGCTACCGATGGGGAACCCGTTCATCCCGTTACAGTGAACACCATCATATCCTTTTCCGGTAAGTATTGCGCCAAGTATCGCTTTAGTAATATACTTTCGTTAGGTATCATTAATGAACTCGTCGTTTTCTATTGACATAGGCGAACGTTATGACTTTGTGATAAATGCTGACCAAACGGTCGGAGCATACTGGATACAAGTGCGATCCCTAGGTGAATGCGGTATACCGCGTGCCCAACAGCTGGCTATATTGCGTTACGCGCGTGGCCCTTACCAACCTACTACTACGCCACCTACGTACGATTATGGTCTTCCGCAGGGTGTCGTGAGTACAATCTTATATTGGATTTTTAATCACCCTCCATCACTTTTACTTCCTCACTTTTATCCTCGATATCGAAAAGAAAAACTCTCTCACTCAGAGGATAATATCCGATCGCGAATCGAAATCAATTTTATTTAAATGACGATAATCGTGATGACGATAATGACGATAATGATGAATTTTTATGGAGAAATGCGATTCCAGGTATTGAATCCACTCGATGCCATTTGCAATCGTCCAAGGGAAGACGCGATTTGTGTGAGTCAATTGAAGAATGCTCGTCACGTCGACGAAGGAATTCTTCAACAACGCCCAGACGTAAAGATATTCTTGCCATTCCGTTTTCTCTTTTACAGACCGGAAGAGGTCTTTCAACCTCAAACCTACAATCGTTTCTTAGGTAAAAATGGCCGTCTCGCCATTAATTATGGAGATTAGTATCCAAGTACATTCCTTATAATTATCCCTATGGATTATTTGATTTACGCTTTCAGTCGCGCCAACCGGGGATCACGTAATTTCCCTCGTCGACGAGATCTCCTTTACGTTTCCACCAGCGCCGCTGCTTTCGCAGATCGACGATATCCCACCTGAACAATTCTGCAACGGGGATAATAGGCCGGCCGATTGCGGTGCGAACTGCATGTGCACGCATCAAGTTGACATACCTTACAACGCGATCGTCGAAGTCGTACTCGTAGACGAGGGTAAGTTATAACACATTTCGTTAATAATGGAACGACAATTAATGGAACGACAATGAAACTTTTCTTTACAGTACAACAACCGAATTTGTCGCATCCGTTCCATTTGCACGGATACGCTTTCAATGTGATCGGTATCGGACGTTCTCCCGATAAAAACGTGAAGAAGATCAACTTGAAACACGCTTTGGATCTCGACAAGAGAGGATTGCTTCACAGACAATTTAATCTGCCGCCGGCCAAGGATACGATAGCTGTTCCGAACAACGGCTACGTTATTTTCAGATTTCGTGCTGACAATCCAGGTCAGTACACCATTTTTTCTCTTTCTCCGTTGCATTTTTCAATTTGTTCTTTTCTTTTTTTACTTTTTAATACTCATATCGAGTATACATTTACATTTTATTTACAGGATATTGGCTCTTCCATTGTCATTTCCTCTTCCACATATTGATCGGTATGGACCTGATTTTACACGTAGGCACGCACGCGGATCTTCCACCGATACCACCTAATTTCCCCGTTTGTGGTAATCACTTGCCTCCTATAACACCGCCAGTACAGATAGACAGCATATATCATTGAACGTTCGGCAATAGGAAAAACACTAAAAACACTGAGAAAAGGTCCAAAGCGTAAGCGATATTTGTAGTATATTTCTGTAAAGTACGTTTCTCTCTCTTCTTTTTCTTTTTCTTTTCTTTTTCTCCTATTTGTTTAATTTCTTTATAATCGGTGGGGTCGTTCGGTAATAGTCCAATTAGTTTAATGTTCTTGATCGATCCAAAAGACCGAATTGACCCAATCGACGATCGTACTCGATCACAATATAATGGTCTTTTAGGCTAGAAGCGTACCTTCGTTCCGAGCTCTATATCTCGATGTTGAGTCTTGGGTGCGAAGTACTTAGGTCGAGTTCCACTCTACTACGATATACTTCAAGTTTTGTAAATAATTGTAGAAATAGTCATTAAATTTTAAACAAGAATTGGGAGCAACGGTGAAGTAGTAGTGGTTTATAGGTCAGCGTTAGGGAGAGAGAGAGAGAGAGAGAGAGAGAAGATACTAAATGGGTCATACGCATTGATTCTCGATCTCGCGTGAATTCTTTATTTGATAACGAACGACTCGCATAACCATCGATGGATCATAATAGCGCTTATTGATTTAGTTAGGGGAAATAAATTCGCGCTCGCACGTTTATCAACTTGCGGTATTACGTATGCGTCTTCTAGCTTGCGCCGCGACGTTGCGTCAAGTGCGTTAAGTCATCAATAGATTCTCGATGTGCGATTCAACGAAAATAAGGAGAATTTTGTCCTGCTATTATACCCTATGCCGCGTATATGTATAAGCGAAAGATATTTTCGAATCCTACGAAACGGCAGTATTTCGATTATCCATCCAATATTTATCTCCTTCCAGTTTGTTTGAAATCAAATAGCAAATACCAATTGAAACGATAGAGAAATACGCATAGAAATCTAATAAATTTAAGTTTGAGATTATTTATTTGATCGTGTTAAATTAAAAGATCGATGGCTAATACTTGAAAAGAAGCGCTTCGTCAGGCTATCAAACGAGACGCACGCGTACTACCTTTTTTGTTAAACCGTGCGTCGTGTCGTCGTGCGGAAAAACGATTAATACTTATGGTGCCTTCATCTTTCTTCGTCTTTAAGAAAAGTACGTAAACCTCATACTGCAACGTCGCGAGAGAAAAACTAATGATCTAAGTAAATACTTACGTGCCTGCGTGCGCACGTGCACGATGTAACAAATTACATTATGAATTCACTTGTAGATAGAATTCAGATCCGTCTATTAAATGTACGCTGTAATACTCAATAATATCCATAATGAATGCTCAATCATTACGAACGAGCGCGTTTTCCGTACGATGTTTATTGTTAATGTTGACACGTATTTTCCAGTCAACATCTAAGTATGTGTCATTTATTAAACGTGAAGAAAATGTTTCTGGCATTTCTCTTACTTTTTTTTTGTCGTTTGATAGGTCTGTAAAACGTACGTAGAGTAATCTTCGTTCAGATTCTCTAGGAACATTTTCTTACAATTGTTGAAAAAATATGTAACTACAATAAAACGTTATATATATATATATATATATATATATATATATGTATGTATATATAAATCATAGAAGATATAGTTTTAATAAGGGTTTATACATTGTTGTTATTAGATTGTATTGTCCTATTTACCATAGATATAATAGCAAGCGATATAAAAATGAATTCGTGTTAAATCATTAATACCGCATGGAGGAAACGAAAGAGAGGAACGAAATGTGACATTATGTCGATCTAATCCAAACTTTTAATAGGTGAGTATAGCAGGTACATGTATACAAGTTATTTTTCTTATTATATAAATTAATATGGAATTAGTCAAATTATAAGAAGAGACTTATCCTTTGGGCAAAAAGTACGATGCACAAATTAGTTTCTATAAAGTTTATTTTTTGATTGGCGTTTCAAGTACAAAGTATAAAATAGCTCGGAAGTAATGTGTACTAATCTCTCACACACTTGTTCGTAATAATAAAAAATATCATCTAATAGTACGAAAATGATTTCTAACATAAGTAATAACAACAGTCGGCATGTATACGCAAGTAGAAACGTCTTTAATTACGTATTACATGCGTATCGATGTAAAAGTACTTATTTATTAATATGAGATTACATTGTTCTCTCTCTCTCTCTCTCTCTCTCTCTCAATATACTGTGTCTGAAAAATTAAAAATGCGATCGACGGTCGACGCTGAGAGATGGTTCACGGTTTTATTTACAAAAGCACTCACTCGTCGCTGCTCAATTAAAGTTAATATTGCGAAAAGGTATATAAATGCTAATTGTGACTATACTTTATGACTGTTATATAATACAGACGAAGCTTGGTACGAAAACAATAGATTTTCGTGAATGACCACTAAACTCGCATTAAGAAGAAGAAGAAGAAGAAGAAAAGAAAAATGAAAAACGTTCGTTAAGTAAATTTTTACTTATCCTATAATTATTGTCAAATTTCTTTCGCGTCTTCAATCGTAGAGACGCGCGCATGTTGACACGTAAGTAAATACATAGCAGCACTATAAGAAAGAATTAGCAACTCTATATAGAATACAATCTATTATAAAAGTATACTAAACGTTAACATATACTTTCTTTCGGCGTTTAAATGTCCGTCTAGCTTTCGGGCCCTTCTACGAAGAAGAGGAAGAAGAAAAAAAGTTCTGTCGAAAATCAATCGAAAATCGAGAACAGAACGTAATCGAAACAGATCGAAGTAGTAACATTAATAGAAATAATTGAGCATTACTTTCCAGAGTAATGCGAGCCAATATTCGATGGTGGCCCTCTGTGATGATGATGATGATGATGATGTTGCTTTTGTCCAGGACCGGAATATCTGCTACCAGGACGTGAATGGACTATAGCATAATGATCGCTGTTCGTTGATATCGACCTCGTAGAATTCATCGTCGAACCGCCAGAAGCGTATCCTTGCTTGCCGTTTAACGAATATCTGCAATGTTGGTAAAAAAAAAAAAAAAAAAAAAAAAACGAAAACAATCGTTTAATTATTGTTGTCATACAACGATAATATTTCAATTGATCGATCCTTGAGGGCTTAAAGCGTTTATAGGACGTTTCAATGTATATCCACGCAGGAAAGACCTCTAAATGTAAACAATACTATATCCGTTGTCGTCAATCGGATCTTACAATTCGACCAGGACGGATCGTCGTCTTCGCAAATACTCGTATCTACATTTAATTAGAAAGAAGCAACTCTAATAAGGTAATCGTTCGTTTCAATATTCTAATGGTTCCTTCTATTTAATATCACTAGACTTATTTTATAAACTAGGCAAGTTTGACATTTTGGAAAAGATATTATCTTTTTCAACATTTGGTATATTTGGTATAGCCAATAGATCGTAATGCGATTGGAAAGTGCGATGTAACATATATCAGCGATCCGCTCTGATCTTAGGAAAAAGGAAGGATTTGCCAACCCGTCGTGTTTCCCAACGTCACGATTGATTCGCCATTACGACATCGCGTCAGACGCATTAAAGATTTAATTAAATCAAACCTCGACCCGTATTGAGAACCGTGCCAGCTACGGTAGGGATCGTAATCTTCGATCGACGGCTCCTTCTCGATGATGTCGGTTTGAGAGCAACTGCAGGTCATCGCCGAGCATAGAAATATGTTAATGATAAGCATTATGAGAAACAATATTCCCAGTGCGACCGCCAACCACAACAGCCATAACGGATGGATGGTGCCGTTTTCGTAGGACGCTTGAACCACTGTGTTGAGAAATTGTCTTTCGTTAAAATTTTTAACACGACTAAAGCGTCGATCAATTGCAAATTTTATAGATCAACTTTTTACAGTTACATTGATCGTTTACCGAGATAGTTCTGTTTAGACGATTTAATGTAAATTCAAGTATAGGAAGAGACGTCAGGACGAGCGTAGACGCGTTAAATTAATTTATAATTATGGAGGCAACAGTTTATAATCGAGGTTTTAATTTTAATCTGCTAGAAAATAACTTACTAGGTTTCTCCCCTGGATCGAGAACGTAGACGCTGGTGCCGGCAAGAAGGATTCCTTCCTCGCCGACGACGTTTTGTCCGCCGATCGAGGAGCCACCCTTTGTCCCCTCGTCCTTGTCATCGTCGCACATAGGAGTTCCACAACTTCCTACAATATTATAGCATATTAACGTAACGTAATATTCAATAGTTCACGAATTTGTTTCGTTAGATATTATATGTAACGAAAGGCGGACGCGTAATAAATAAAATCTATAATGCGTGCCGTTCGACGGACGATAGGTGAATTATTTGAATCGCCTAAATCGACCTAAATACGTAACGTTACAACTTGAATGGTAATCATTTGAAACACGGTATCGCGCGTTCTAGGCTCACCTCTGCACACGGCGATGTCACATTGGAAATGTACTTGTGGGCTGTCGGAAAAGCGGAACATGGAGAACAATGTAGCATCCGCCGTGCCTGCGTTTCGATCGTATATAAATTTCGTCATGACTCGTGCTTTTACGGGACACCTATGGTTGAAAAAGAAGGATGAAAAAAAAAAGAAGGGAGAAGAGAGTTTCAGGATTTTCCTTGAATACGTACATGTAATAATTTATGCCGTTATACTCACCCTTTCTCGTCGATCAATTGAACGCTTGCATTTTTCTTGTTAAATGCAAAACAGGACTTCACCCTGATACCGTATGTTCCTGTAAAACGAAGGCAGTACTCGTAGAAAGGAAATAATTCGAGAGAGAAGTTTTGCCAACGTCGCGTCGTCGACGGTTATTATAATTAGCAGCTGAAACGGAACACGTCGTAATAGTAAAACTTAGTAATACTCACCATCCGGACGAGAAATTTCTGCTCTTAGGGTATAGTTGTGACCATAAATAGCTTCTTGCACTCTATGAGAACCGTCCAGGAGTCGTAAGGACACCAACGACGTTTCATTCCTTGAAGAACGTTCGAATGGAACTTTAATTAATTGTACCTCTCGCGTGCGTAGAATATAAGTATATTTAACAAGTGTGCAATGTAAACGATTTTAAATGAAAATAAATATCTGATAATGGCGGCTCCTCGACTCACTTGGCATTTTTAAAGCCCGCCTTGCCGCACGTGATAACATAAAATTTGTCGTCGGCGAGCTCGAGAGTCTTGTGTATCCTCACCGCGATAGGGACCGATCGTTCTTCCGTATTCTGTAATGTTAACGAACCAACGTTATTAATATAATAACTTAGCAAAATTGGAAATTTAGCTCGATTGAAACTAAGTTTTTGGTCTGCCCGATGAAATTTCCCAGAACAAAGAACAAAGAGAGGGAAGAAATAAGGAAAGAAATATATATGCCACGTACAATGTGAGATTCTTACATTGTTAACGAGTACTCCACAGTAATCGGGTGCTCCTTTTGGCGCAAGTAGGTTTATACCGAGCGTGGCGTGCGTCGAGCCATTTCCGGGTACCATACACTGAGGCCTTCGATAATCCCTGGCGTGAACCGCGCCTACGAAGCTCTGGTTGAGATTCACGCGAATCGTCATATAACCGGCTTTGCACGTCGCCGTTACCGTCGGTTGAAATTCCGTGTCCAATAATTGACCGCTGACCTGCGTGCAGAAGAATATATATGATAGATACGTACAACGAGGAAAGATTATACGCATCTTTTTCTCCTTAATTATTAGAGATCAGGACCTCTTTATCTATACTTGCTATACCAATATCCTACGATCCATTTCTACGTACGTAAGAGCATTCCTATGTTTTTTATTCGAAAATCTTGACGATTATAATTATAATCATCGATATAGATATACTCGTCGAATCTCTCTCTCTCTCTCTCTCTCTCTCTCTCTCTTTCGCCTCGTTCGGACAATATATATAATAATATAAATCTAATCGATATAACTCGAGATAATCCAAAAGAAAAAAAGTATTTACAAATGATTTCAAGGAAAGAAGAAAAGCGGAAGGAACTGTAGAGAAATCAAGAGTATTAATTTTTAACTCGCGACGAAAATCATTGCCGTGTCTAGTAAACTCGAGAGGTATTGCATCGAGAAAGTAGGGATATTTTCTCGTTCCAATCGGCGACTTAATGGACGAGTTAAGCTTGGAGACCGGTCTGGGCGGTAGCCAAGCGTCCCACGCTAACTTTCAATTTCGTATGCCGCGTTTGGACCACTTCTCCAAACTCCAATGATATATATTATTATGTTATATAGAAGCGTAGAAAATTTGCAAGAGAGACCTGAAAATTTGCGCGGAGAGTTGAGTTTTGCTTCTCGATCCAATAGATCTTTGGCGTGGGTGTTCTGCAAGGCCACGAGCCCTAAATGTTCCCTCCGCCGTATATCAAGGGAAGGATGCGCGATCGTAAGTTAGAAAAGAATGATGGTTTCTCTCCATAAAAGGGGGAATCTGATCTTTTGAAATCGGATCCTCGTTTCTTTCGAACACAAACGTGACACTACGTTTAAATCGTTTGGACGACGAATTGTTTTCTTTTTCTTTTTATTACAAATTACACCTATATTTAAGTCATGATGACGCGTCATTTAACGTGATCGTGATTTTAATACGACTTAATTAAATTAATTTGGCTGAGCCGCGTAATAATTACCGCGAATTCACGGTCACACTTTGTCCGCTTTAGTTAGGTCATAAAAGGAACGCAACACCGTTTGTGGATCGGCGACGTGATGTAATCAGAATTCCTGTGGAACGCGCCATGAGTGTACGCACTTAAAATAACGCTTACAGTGACGCAGAAAAAGGAGCGAGCGAGCAAGTGAGAGAGATAGAGAGGGAAAGAAAGGCAAACAGAAATTACGTTCGCCGACGAGAATATTTGCACGTCTATTAGCCGTATAGTAAAAGTCTTCAAAACCAATTTTATTTCATTCTACGGGATTTCGGAAAAAAACTATATTCCTTATATATATATATATATATATATATATATATATATATATATATACATATTTTATTTCTTTCTTTTTAATAAATCTTACAGAGTAACACGTTGAGAAAATTTTCTACATTGTGATCCGTATAATTAATTATCGTTCACTTGGTTTCGATTTTTATCCAAATTTTCTCATTATATTTTACACAGCACTGATTATTGCAGACACCTTAACATGAGCAATAAAGATTGGCATCGATGATCAAAGTTGATATAAAAAGGCAATTGAACTATTAATTATTTTCTCGAGTATGTAGCCCGCGACAAAGAAAGAGTGAGACAGCGAAAGCAAGATATATGCGGGAAGAATTTGTCGAATCACCCCATATACGCACGTATCCTCCTTATCATACTTTTCATCATGGAAAGAGAAAATTTTGCCGTATCGTAAAATTCGATCGATGCCAACAAGAATTACGACGTGCGTCTAAGAAATAATTAGAAGAATGGAATGTAAAAGGAAAGGAGAGAGAGAGAGAGAGAGAGAGAGAGAGAAAGAGTGAGAATCTAGAGTTTGCGTTTACCGAGCGTTATCGAAATATACAATTTACGTGGTGGGTAATAATATTGTATTGAGATTTACCTCCAGTTCTCAACTTCTCCCCTATCTCTCTCTCTCTCTCTCTCTCGCCGTCTTTCTACGTGGAAGTTTGAATGCATTCCGATAGTGCACACCCAAGCGCAAGCATGCAAACCGCGAGACTCGACCGCAGAAGTATATCGCTTGCAGAATGTTAGTCCTTCATTTTTCTCCCTTTCTTTTCTCTATTTCATTCTTTCTCTATTTTTTTATGCACGGAAAGGAGACAAACTTGGAGCGATTCCCGCGTTTCTACGTTCGTATACGTGTGTACGTACGTAGCAGCGCGTAAATCATAGCAAAGCCGAGATATATACTTAGTATATAAACGTAAATTCTCATATCGCAAACGTGAAAAGAAAGTTTCACGGATAAAATATATTTTTTCTTATTCGTCGTACTTAATACGTCGTAATTAACAAATTTTGATGATCGTATCTGTAAAACTCGTGACTTTTGAGATTTTTCAAAAAAATGTTCGATTGTTTAATTACAGTAAATTTTCGAGTCGTGCCAAGTCGTATAATCGAAGAGTTGAAACTGCAGTGTATGCAACGAATGCAGCGAAGGAGAAAAGCATTCTTTGGTCTCTCGTCTCTGGAAGAAAAATAAGATAAAGAAGAAGAAGAAGAAAAGGAGAAGGAGAAGAGGAAGCAAGAGGTAGGAGAGCGAAGGGCCCCGAATTCTCTCGTCAGCGTTCCTTAGACTCCGTCGACAGAAAGAGTATGGAGAGGAGAGGAAGAGGGAAGAGGACCCAGTCTCCGGAATTATCCTGCGAGGAAAAAGGAACTCAAAGTCAAAACGTATGTTATTGACCCTCGCCTCGTTTGGACTCGTTGGTCTAACCACTTTCTTCCTCTTTTTATTTCCCCCTCCCCCTTTTTTTTAAAGCAACGTAAGACTCAAACCAAACGGGCCCGCGGCATTTTTGCCAGAAGAAGGCTCATCCTTCTTTTTCCTTTTCTCCCTCGTCTCTCTCTCTCTCTCTCTCTCTCTCTCTCTCTTGTTCTTCGAAGGTCCGAGCCAAGAGTACGAAGGGATTTATGAAGACATTGTTGGGAGGAGGTTCCACTATCTATTGCTTAAATACAGACGCGCGTAAGACTGTTATCTTTATATCTCTTTTCTTTTCCTTCTCTCCTTTATTTCTTGGCAAGAAAAGTCAAGTTTTATTAATAGTACCGTCTTATTTTGACGTATTTTATGGTGCATTCTTCGTTCGCCGTTGATTCATTTACGTTGAAATTATCAGGCTATGGAAATTGCATCATTATTTATGTTTATTTATTCTTTTTAGGTAGTATGCCATTTTGTACGATTAGGTGATATTAATTTTATTAATACGGTTAAAATTACGTACTATCTCGTATAGTGTGCTTTTCTAAAAAGTGATAATCACGAAGAGAAAAATGGATAGATATATGCATAGATAAATAGAGAGGGAGAGAGAGAAAGAGACGATAGTTACTTTTTTACGACACGCATGAGTGCTTCGCGTTAATTAAGGGCTGATCGATTAATCAGGAACATGATGAGGTTCGTGTACTCCTCGCGTTAATGAGAACTCAATGAACGTAAGTATAGTTAATACCACGTGATGTACGAAAGTAATAAATCCTTAACGCAAGAATAATTCCACGTTATCGGATCAAAACTCGCGAGTATCCGATCGTTAATTAATGGTCTCCCTTTTATCGATACCCTGTCGTACATTATTTCCTATTTCTCTCTCGTTTCCACCTTTGCACTTTTATTACGTCGATATTTCTTTCACTCCCTCTTTTCCTCTTTCTCCACCCCCCCGTCTCTCTCTCTCTCTCTCTCTCTCTCTCTTTCGTTCTTCGATGCTCTCGAAAGCGTGTAGAGTGAAAGCAACGCGTTTGTAACTTTCCACGGTTATGGCTTATCAGATTATGGAGCGATTTTAATTCCTTCTCTCACATCCTCTCTCTCTCTCTCTCTATCTCTCTCTTTTAGAAGAAACTATGTACATCGAAGGCGACAG